ATGTTGACATCTGAAGCGTAAAACACAACGAGCTGTTCTCAGGCTTCTGCTTCAAAGCCGTCGAAATGCACCTACGTGGGGATGATGGAAAAAAAGCCAAAGGGCGTGGGACGCTCAGATTCAGTGGATATTTCCTGGCTGTGACAGCGTTAACTCTTTGTTTTGTGTAGTGTTAGATGAGTGAGACGAGTGTGGGGAATCTGGGTTGTGCGAAAACCATGTTTTGTTGACCTTCCGTGGCTGTCATCAATGAAGAGTAAGAAAAAGGGGACGACCGAGATGAGAGCGAGTGTTGTCGGGCATTGTTGGGAGAGTAAACAGCGCCTGGAGCCTGGGAAAGGGCTGGGATTTGTGCCACGGCATTTCTGAGTCATACGCTTATCGTGTTTGTTTCGTGTTTCTACCTGACGTGTTTGCATTAGCATTCCTGCACTGTAGCCCTGCAGCATGACGGCCACAGCTCGTGTGTTCCCAGCTCCCATCCGATCGGATCCGTCCTGTCCGCATTTAATTAAACCCCATATGTTTTCTTCGGTTTCTCTCCTCGTCTTTTCTGGCAGAGGACAAGAAAAAAGAGAGAAAACAAGCTGCTAGATCCATTAGTGGTTCAAGCAACAGTCATTGTTCATTGCTTCCTATATGCTTCTATTTTCAAGAGCTTCGTGGAACAATAGCACTCGCGGTTCTGTCAGGTGTTTACGGTCGCCACGAAAACCAAAACAAAGCACATGTGAGGACACTTTCTAAACCACAACATTGGGTTTGATCCTGATCCTTGAGTTGAATCAGAACTGACAGATGTCTTAAATGTGCAATATTGTGGTTATGAATAAGAAAACATGTGTTTGGAAAGTCGAAAGCAGATGATGAGGATTGGATGACGCTGAACAGATGAGTAAATGGATGAGGTTAAGTGTGGAAGTGGAAATTATTACAAATATTTTGATTAGTTACACATTTGAAGGCATTTTGAGCTGACACATTGAGCTTGGGTGCTCATGTGGGAAATCCGGGTTCGAATCAGGTTCCACATTTCCCCACGTGTCCTCTCTCTTTAGATTTTATGTACTAAAAATCGGATTACCTATTTTTTCATATTTATTTAGGCTCTGTTAATGTTTTTTTTTTGTGTGTGTAATTTTTACATTTGAAGTCTTTTTGAGCTGACACATTGTGCTTTGATGTTCATATGGGAAATCGGGCTCACATTTTTGTTAATATTTACTTTTCACAATTTTTAATAATATGTTCACTTTTTGCTAGCAGTTCACAATTAAAAAAAAAAAAAAAACTTTTGTGTTATGTCACTGACCCAGACAGCTTATTTAATCATATTTATTTAGCTGCAATTAATGTTTTGTTTGTTACATTTGACATGGCAAATATTTTAATAATTTTCACATTTGAAGGCATTCTGAACTGACACATTGAGCTTTGGTGCTCATGTGGAAAATCCAGGTTTGAATCGGGCTCACATTTCCAGTCATGTCCCCCCAAAATTTTCTGTCCTCTTTCAATTTTCTATTTTTTTAAAAAATGGCAAAAATAAAATAAATATGTATGCAAAAAAAAGCATTTATAATAGAATATAAAAATATATAAATAAAAACAACATAAAGCTTTTAAATGTTATTTATTCATAAGCCCTCAAACTCAACAGGCCAAATCCTTTTCAATTTGCTGAACACCACCATGTTTGTTTTAAATCATAGCTGAATGAGTTCCACTGACAGGCCACCCAGTCGCCTCTACCTGACCCCTGTGCGGGGCAATAGGCCTCCGTACACCCACCCCTCGCCTAGCAGAGCAGAATGGAAAACCCGAGCCGACGGTGCACGAAAGCCTCATCTCACACCCTCACAACAACCCGATCCAGCACTCCGCTAATGACTCAGAACTGATAGGAAGCGACTAGAAGCCTCTTAAGTCTCCTCCATTCACATCAGGGAAACATTAAGATATTCCTTTTTTGTTGCCTCCCAAGGACTTGCGCAGCCCTAGAAGGGTAATTATCACCCTGCCAATATTGTAAATCCATTCTGTCATTTTCAATTATATCTGCTTGTGTCAAGGTCTAATAAAAGCTAATTGCACATAACAGCCCTGATCAATACATCAGGCAGGGAAGGTGGCAAGACGTGCCCTCATATGAGGCTTTAGGAGTTGGACGCAACACGCATTTGTGCATTATTTGGTTCCTCGTTAGCACTTCATGTTGATTGTATTGAGAATCTATTAAGGCATATACAAACTACTTTTAAAAAGAGTTTATAAAACACATAGTTCCAGTCCTGGATGCAAGCTAAATTTTCTAATGGAAGGAAGCAATTGGCACTTAACGAATTTGATTAATAAAATAACATTTTGGTGTAAGTTATACATATATATATATATATATATAATTTTTTTTTTCTTTTTTCTTTTTTCTGCTAGCAGCTCACATTGTACAACATTTTTAAACTTTTTGTCATTTTTTCAATTGATTACATTTTTTATTTTATTTTTATTTATTAGCTTATTTTATTTAAATGATCAAAATGTTAAGATTTTACATTTTATGCGCTAAACATGTTATTTTCCTATTTATTTAGACTCTATTCAGGATTTGTTTGTGGTTAACCTGTTTAAAAATTTTTATAAGTTTTTATAAGACACTTATAATGGAAGTGAATTGTGCCAATTTGTAAATGGAACTTGCCAGTTCAATAGTACAGCAACAGGATGTAAACAGTATTGAGTAAATATAGAGTGTTAGCATGATATTCATGTGAAAAAATAACTTTTTCTGTATAAATTTATATAAAATTTTACAACTTTATAGCAATGACAGCGTAACACTGCACACCATAAAACAGCTGTAAAAATTATTTATTAATAATAATAATAATAATAATAATACAAAAGTTTTAACAAAAATTATTGTATGTTCTATAATAAAATTATAATTTTCATATTTCTGCTTTTAAATTTAAAATGTAAAAAAACTGGCCCCATTGACTTCCATTGTATGGAGCAATAAATGGCATTTAATTTAGTTAATTTAATTTTATTAGCTACTACATTCAACATTGCATCATTGGTCATTGCATCTTCGATTAAAAAAAAAAATTCACTCCATTCCATTTTCATGTATGTTCCAGTCCAGTTTTGTTTGATCCATTTAAGATTCCGTTTAGCCAAATATCCTTAAAAGTTCCCTAGTTAGTGACAGACCATAGTAGAGGCATCATATTTGTCTAGAGTGAAATAAACTGGCATTTATTCCATAAATATTTATATATATTAGAGTACATCTTATACATTATTTCTTAATTAAAGCAAAAGTAAGCAGTAATCTCAATCTTGCCATCAAGGAATGATTGGTGTCTAACCTGCTGAAATGTTTGCTGACCTTTTCCTGAGGGACAAATGGCGGTAAGACTTTCTGTAGCACTCAGACCCATTTAGTCATCCTCTTTTTGTCTGCTTCCTCTATCATCAAGGGTCGCTATTGTGCCGGCTCAGGTACCGACTAATGCAGAGCAAATACTTCTACCTAACCATTAACACAGGGCCACTGTTTGAACAGCGCGACACACTGGAATGGCATTTATGGATGGTGGTGGGCTGTTTTGATAGGGAAGAATCTTCATCAATTAGCCCTCTACACTCTTCCCAGGGTAATTTGAGTCTCTGTGTGTGTGTGCATGTGTGTGTTAGACAGAAAGAGATACAGTTTGCCCTGCATTTAATGGCACTCTAACTTGAGAGCCGATCATTAACCCATTAGAATAACATGTCTTTGGCTGGGAGGTTTTGTGGGACGGGAGAGCCCTGGGAGATTTGCATCACAGCGCTTACTGTAAACCTCTGAGACGCAGGGGAGATGTTGAGAAACATCATAATGTCTGGTGTTTGTCTCGGGGCAGAGCCTTTTGCTCATTACGAGAGGTGTTAACAGCTGTAAGTTATGAATGGAAGTGTTCGTGCACTGTAGGGATGTGCAAAATTTAGTTTTCACTTTCCTAATGGTTTCAAAAACTGTTTAAGAACTATTATGGTTTTAAGTTGAGCTCAATTGACAGCATTTGTGGCATAGTGTTGATTACGACAACAAAAAAAAGTAACATCCCAAAGGTTATGCTGGGACGCTTACAATGGAAGTAAATGAGACCAGGATCTTCAAGCATAAATGTAAAAATTACGATTTTTTAAAAGCATAAAACATTGTTAAACCTTTTTTGAGCTGTAAAGCTGTTTAACTCAATATTTTACAGTCTTTTTAGGGTTTACGCCACAGTCATGGCAGCAGTGTTGAAATACTGGTTATAATGTCACACAGAAAAGGTTAGTAAGCAAAATGTCCCGCTAAAATCATGTTAGCATGCATATTGTTTACGTCTTGTGGCTGAACTATTGAAAAAGTGATTTTAATGTTTACAAATTGGCACGATTCACTTTTTTAAAATTCATTGTAAAGGCCTCAAATTTGTATAAGATTTATTTAAAAAAAAAAAAGTAAAACCAATCAAAACTGTTTTTTTGTTCACACAATTCAATGTGTTATTGCTTGACTGAAATATCTTAATTCATTACTAGGATAAACGGTTTATTGTTAACATGCTAACAAGCAATTACATAGCTATTAAGCATACTTTCCATTGCGATTATTTCTTTTATTTGTGATTATATTTTACAATTGAGATTTTATATGTCATAATTTCACCTATTTTTCATGTAATTGTAAGTTTATATCTCATAATTTTCATATAATTTTTTTATTGCAACTTTTAAAATGCAACTTTATTTCTAACAATTGTGACTTTATTTCTTATAACTTTCACAGTCAAGACATTTATGTTACAAATGATTTCTATTTTAAATTAATGAATTTCTATTCATCAAAGAATCCTCAAAAAAAACAAAACAGCGCAACTGTTTTTAACATTCATAATAATAAGAAATGTTTCACCAATATACGAATTTAACGTTTACAAATTGGCCCCATTCACTTCCATTATAAAAGCCTCACTGTAACAGATTTTTTTTTAAGAAAAGGAGGGACAAGTCAAAATAATTTTTTTGTCGTAATTAGCATTATGCGATAAATGTTGTCGATTGAGCTCAACTTGTACTGAACCTAGTACATATATATATATATACTTTTAATAGGCCATTTTACTAACTATACAATCTAATCACATATACATAACAAGCAGATTAAATTATCTGAATTTCTTTTCAAATAATACGTGCTGTGGAATATGTACTTGTAAACAAAAAATAGTCATCGTGCAACTGGCTCTGACAGAAACCTCAAATGCTTATTTAAAGTAAAGCGTATCATGTTCTCAGGTCTTCTTTCTGAAGAGCTGCTCTATTGACATCACGTCATTAAGGTCCGTGAGATTGTATTTGTTTTGGCTCAAGCGGGCAAAGCATTGCATCGAAGATCGCTCTTATTTCTTCCTTCTCTCTACAACCTCTTCTTCCTGTTTGGCAGCCGACCCATTCGTCTAGATCTGGAAGGTTTCCTGAATCAAACATGCGTCTTCAATTTGGGCCTGCGAAGAA